AAAGATTAGAATGCTACAAGTTTTATGAAGTTTTGTGGAAATATTGGGAGTTAATTATGCTATTTTGCACCTACTTTGGTTGGATTAGATATAGCTTATGGTTGGCCCAATATGAGCAGCCTGTATATAAGGTGGGCCATGATGTTAAGTTGGGCCTGTATTAGCCCAGCTCACTTTGAAGCCATGGTCTGTTCGGTGTGGTCCATCCCACTTGAGAACCGGTGCTAAAATTCAAAATCCTTTTAAAGCTTTTATATGCTTCTCTTTGGTAACCCTTTTTTCTTTCCAACAAGTACTTTAAATGGTCCTTCTTCCGAAAAGAAATCTGTTGATTCTCTCCTAATTTGTTGGACTATGGTCTACTTGATGGCGAGGTTTTTCCAGTGTTATATACTATTACTATCACATTGCTATTAAGTTATGACATATAATGTTACTTGGGTTAATTACTATTTCCCTTTTAGGTTTGGATAAAAGTATACTTTAATTCACATATTTTAAAAGGTAATACTATTTAGATGTTTCTAAATGGTAATAGTAACTGTTGTTACCCCAAAGTAATTAAAAAAAGGGGCAATTTAGACATTTCATTTCCTTCACCTTAATCTCCATTTGGAAAACCTTTATTGACTTTTTGGATTTAAACCATTGAGGTTATCTACCATATTTGTGGTTTACTTAGAATATTGGACTTGTAGGGTATTCAATGAGCTTAAATAATTAGTTGATGTATGTACAAACTGGCCTGAACAGTGAACACCCTGGTTATTTAAAAAAAAAAAAATCAATTTTCCCTTTAAATGAGAAGTAACATGTTACTAAAATGACTTTTTAATTTTGCTAATATCATATAATTATATGACATTTATAGTTTACTAATAATGGATTAAAAATAGCTCCTCTAACAGAAGTATGAAATTTTATTTATGTCAATATTTATAATTATTATATTTCTATAAGGGTATAAAACTCAAATAAGAGTCTCAATTACAAATTGAACTTGAATAAAATTTTATTTCATAAAAATTAATCAAATATATCAACTAATTAATTTTTTTGGTAAATTGTTTTCAAGGTTTAATAAAAAATATTAAAGTTATATCAATCCGAGACTAACCCTAAAATCATATTCAAAATTTTAAATTATTAAATATGAGAGTCGATTCAAACTCAATGGTTGCAATAAGACAAGTAACATTATCGAACAGATAAATTATCGAAAAAGATTTTCACTTTCATAGTTATCTATTTGAATTGATGGGCATACAAATCAATCATAGAATAAGGTGGGGCTAAATCAAAATGAAAATCAGCGTAGGTGGCAACTTGTGATTGGTCCATTTTGTGATGGATCATGCCACACAATACCTAGGTGGATGTTGCTATGTTCCTATCTATTTTATCTACACATTAGGATTCGTGAAGAGGCAGACAATTAAAATTAAATAAATACAAAAACAAAAGGGTTGCTAAGTTGATTCTGCGTTGACAAAAAAAAAAAAAAAAAAAAAAAGGTAATACGTGACTGTGAAACATTGGTTGCTTCTCACTGATGATTCTCCTCTTTGTTCTCTCTGTTTTTTTTTTTTTAATTAAATTTTTTTGGTTCCATTTTATTTTTTTATCCCACGCGCCTTCTCACGTTTGAGATCAAATATTTATATCTACTTAATTAAAGTGAAAAAGGGTTTATCAATTATTTTGATGATTAAAAAGTGTAACTTCGTCCTTTAATTTAAAGCATCCATTTATTAGAAAAAAAATTATATATATTTTTTTATGTTTTTTGATTTATTAGGTGTCAAATTTATAGTTAATATTTTTTATTAATATTATGGTATATATCATTCCATATTATAAGAGGATTATTTTATATTGACGGTCAAATTCTTTTGATTTAAAATAATTTCCCAATAATTATTCAACCTAATCCTAACTACTATATGCTGAATAATTCTAACATTTTATTTTTTTATTGTAATGGTATCTTCTTATTATCTTTTTAATATTTATAACATATTGAGAAATTGTAACTAATTTTTTATATTCAATACCATTCATTTTAGGGGTGTTCAAATACCCAACTCAGTATCTAAACTGAAACCGAATCGAAAAAATCAAGTACCTAGAAATCGTTCAATTTTGAGTTATAGTGGAAAGAAACCAATTTTTTATTCGAGTACCAATTTAACTGCAAAAACCAATACCCAAATCGAAAACTTAATTTTTGATTTGGTTCAAAACCAGGTAATTTATAAATCATTCAGTTATCAGGTACTATTAGAACTTGAACTGAATTTTTGATCCAGTTCAGCAAAAGCCCTAGCCGATCAGGTACCCAGTTTTGAGCATCCCTAATTCATTTAATCAATAGGATGATTAAAAGGGTTGCTAATTAGTATTAAACTACTATTACTAATTTCTTTTTGCGCAATCATTGTCTTAATTTAGCTGTATGATTAGTAAATTGTGTTAATATTTTAAATCAAAAAGTAACATAATATCTTAACCTGTTTATAAATTTTTTAAATTAAATTATATGTAAATCCCCATGCTTAAATTTTTTTTAACACCACAATAATATTATTATTATCAAATCATTTTTACTTATTTATGATAAAAGAAAGTTAGTAGCGTTTAAAAATATATACTTATTTTTACCAAAAAATAATTATTAAAAATATTAGACTACATATTTTGTAAATAAAATTTTATAACAATTTAAGTTATAGAATTATAATAACTACCTATATCAAAATTAATATCCAATCTTATAAAAGTTTTAAAATATTTTATTTTCAAACTTTGAGTAATTAAGATTTGAAAAAAAAAAAAAAAAAAAACTCTGCAATTAATCTGATGGTCAAAATATAGAATAATATTAATGTAAAGAGTTAAAAGCATATACCTTCTAAGGTTTAAAGTTAACACAGAATACCCTGAAGGGCGTTTGGTTGGAGGTTAATGAAGATTACTCGAGTTATGTCATCTTATATTACTTGATTACCATGTTTAGTTGTCAAGTAATATAAGATTCCGATAATCTTGCATTACCAATAGTTGTTACTGTTGGAAATATTGGAGGTAATCTAATTACCTCAATTTTCTTAGGTATTGTAAGATTACCAAGGTAATCTTATTTTTGCAATGTTTTAAAACCAAACCTGGGGTGAAACCTAGCAAAGCTTCCGGGTCCCGGGTTGACTGGTCAAAATGGTTGACAAAAACTTTTAAAATTGAGCAAATACACCCCTAAAAATTACAGTTAAATCCTATAGGCTTGAAATTTATCAAACACACCCCAAATGCAAATCGACCAGCGACTGATTGGCAGCGGCGACACCCTAGATGTAACCCCAATCGTCCCTTGAGCCCATTTCCATCAAAATATACCCAAGATCTGGCCGAAATAGTTTCGATGTTGGCCAGATCTCACTGAAGTTGGCATCGGCATTCCAGGCCAGATCTCATCGACGCCGGCATCGACAACCCTTCCCATCACCCAAGAATTACTCCCCTCTTCCTCCTGACCAAAACCCACCTCACTTTACCCCCGTTAGCCTCACCAATCGCCGACAAAATCCCATTGTTGCCGCTGCCAGTTTTGTTCAATTTCCAGTCGATTTACTCACCGGAAATCAACTCTGTCACCACCATTGCATTCACCGGCACTTTCTCTTCAAAAGCCCCAACACTCCGGCCATCAATTGTTCGCCAATCATCCTCTCAAATCTTAGGGTTCTGGGTGAATAGGAAAAATATAAACCCGGCCCGTTGAAGCTTCCGGGTCCTGGTTGAATCGGCCGAGCCGGGCGGGATTTTAAAGCATTGTATTTTTGTTATAATTCTATCCCTTATTAATAAAAATTTTGGACAATAATGCCTCTATTTTAAAATAAATTTACATTAATATACCATTTCAATTTTACCCTTGCTTAATTAAATTTTTGGACTATAATGCCCTTATATTTAAAACAAATTACAGACCACCACTGTCACCCAACAATCACCACCAACAGCGGGCCAACCACCACAGACCGCCGCCGAAAAGTAGCCGGAGTCCTTAAAAAAGATCGAGATTCAATGGGAGGCTCCGGGAGGCTTTGATATGGTCGTTTTTGGCCATATTGATGGCCGTTTGCCAGATCCTTGGCCATTATCGGCCAGGTCGTTAATAGCCAGATCCATCGAACTGGTTGGAAATGGCCAGATCCATCGATCTGATCAAAAATGGCCTGATATGGCCGAAAACGGCCATATCTGAGCCTCGTGGTTATAGTGAGCTACTCACGGCGACTTTCACAAACTTCCAGCGGTGGTTTGCGGTGGCGACAAAGGGTGGAGGTGATTTCGTCATAAATTAAAGTTTTATGTAAGCGGGGGTGTTTTAGCTAAATCTGAAATATTGGGGGCTAAAAAAGTTATTCAAAAATTAATAATAAAAATAATATTATATTAATATTTAAAAATGGGATAATTTAGTAATTTAAATAACATACCCACAAATTTATTCCTTCTAACCAAACATATTAATATAACATACCCACCAATTAACCAAACACATTTTCTTAAAGATTCTCAATAATCTTCAAAGTAATATAAAATTCCAGTAATCCAACATTCCCTGAACCAAACGCCCCCGAAAGATTTGGGAATAACAAAAATACCTTGTTGTTAGTTAACAGTTAGTGAATCGTTAGAGCATACATTATTAGGAGTTTATAAATTACCATTCTACCGTTTATTTAAACAATTAAAACTTAACAGTAGGGGTATTTATGTTATTGTAGAAACCTCAGAAGAATTGTGTGATTTGATAAAACCTGAGGGGGATTTGTGTTAGTAACTGTAATATAAAATAATAGCAAGATAAATCAATAATAAAAATAATAATAGATCAGCCACACGCGAGTTAATCGCGCGTGTAAATATGTTGAAAAATTCAACATGAATTTCATCATCACTTAAATCAAGAACTCCATTTCACTTCTTCCGTCTCCATTTCATACAACAGCAAAAACAAAATCAAGAAAAGCACTTTGCTTTTACTAGATCTCTAATCCTCTCAATTTCAAAAAATAAACCACAATCTTAATCTTAGAGAATCCAATTCCGATTCCCATCAAAATAATTCGATTTCCCAGGAATTAAAATCCCATTTACTGGATTCCCTTTTTGACTTTAATGGCTAATCAATTTCAAATCTTTTCCGTGTAATATTCCAATTGAACACTTTTTGTCTTTCTCAGTATAATCAGTACAAATGTTTTGTTTTTGATGAACAAAGGTTCAATTTTGTTTGAATTTGTTGCAGTTTGATATCCTGTGATTGGATCCATTGGATTTTGGTGCCAACGGCTTTGTTCAGAAATTGATTTGTAGAGCTTTTTATCAGGTTATTAATGATTTTTTGTCACTTTTTTAATCATGTTTTTGGATTTTGGGTTTTATTTGTTGACTTATTAGTGTTTGGTGGCTGAGAAATTTGGGAAAAGGATATAAATTGAAAATCCTGAAATGTCGCCTTGTTTAGTATTGGATTAGATTCTTGAAACTCTTTCTTTATTAGTTTAACTCTTTGTAATGTTGTTGCTTTATTGTGGGTTTAAGGGTTTGTTTTTTGGGATTTTTAGGTTGATATTGTGTTTTGATTTTGATCAACACAGGTCAGTTAGTTAATCTGTTATGCAATCAGTTGATGATAGTGACGAAAAGAAGAGTTTGAAGCGATCAAGATCACCGTCTTCTTGCGATATGCCTGTGACTGATACCACTGCCCCACGAACAGTTGATGATTGTATTTTCTTCCCTCTTGAAGATATAGTACAATCTCCGGTACCGGGATACGTTGTACCTACGGCAATTACTTTTAGTCCTGATGATAGTTTGGTAACTTACTTGTTAAGTCCGGATCAATCCTTGAGTAGGAATGTCTTTGCTTTTGATCTCCACACTGGCAAGCAAGAGCTGCTTTTTAGTCCTCCAGATGGAGGGCTTGATGAGAGTAACATATCACCAGAAGAGAAGTTGAGGAGGGAAAGATTAAGGGAGCGGGGATTGGGAGTGACGCGATATGAATGGGTGAAGACTGGCTCGAAGAAGAAAGCAATTATGGTGCCTTTGCCTGTTGGGGTTAGTCAAATTTCTTACATTATATTTTACTTCTTAGATCACTTTTACGTTATCATCTTTGGCGACGTTGATATCTATGATGATTAAGAATGTAGACATTAAATTTAATTCATTTGAAGTCAAAATTTTCTCACTGGTTTGCAACAAACTTGAATGTCAGTCTAGTTTCTGATGATTATTTTTTGTCTTTCTTTGGACAGATTTACTTTCAGGATCTTTGTTGTTCAAAACCAGAGCTAAAGCTTTCAAGCTCACCACTCTCACCTGTCATTGATCCTCATCTCTCTCTAGATGGTACTATGATTGCTTATGTGAGAGATAATGAGTTGCATGTTATGAATCTCTTGTCCAATGAACAGAAACAATTAACACATGGTGCCAAGGGAGACACGGTGGTAAGTGCCAATTATAAGTATTTTACATGGAGAGAATGTTTACTATTATATGATAGTGTATTAAGAATTTCTATATTTTTATTTTTTATTTTCAGTAAATGTGCCCAAACTGTGTAATCACAACTAGATAGGTTTCTGAATTATTTGGCCGGTGATCAAAGTTGGAGCTATCACGCAGCCAGAGGGACATCCCCGTCTCCCTCTCCCTCCTGGGAAACTTTCAAAAGCTTTATTAGAATTATTAATTTGTCCTTTGATTTTCTAGTGTTATATAACCTAACTTAGAAAGTTGAGACACAGTTTTGACTTTGTTATTTTGTCCTCTATAACTTGGATTTCATTCTAGAAAAATAATTAAGGACATGAGATAAAAACTTTTTATATTATGATATAACATTCATGTTGCAACTAGGTATAACTTCTTGTCTGGTAAACTTTGTTTGAATATGTTTATGATCATGATATGAGATGAGACGGTGTTTTCGAAAAGACAACTCTTTAGATATACACAAAGTTCATGATTGGAATATCATTTATTTAAGAGATATGTAATTATTTGTGTATCATAGAGAATCAGGTCAAAGCTGAATAACAGAAAAATGCATGCAAAATTTTTGTTATTGTGTTTTTGATAATTGCACATAAATCTGAAGATGTATAATTTAATTTTTTTGTATACTCTATTGGAAAACTTAGGTACAATTTAAATGTTTGATAAATGGTTTCATACCTTGAAATCATTTGGAAATTGCAAATATATGAATTAAAATACTAGCTATTAACATTGTTTTTAATATTAATTTTTGTTATAATGTTCTTAAATCTGACTATAGTTCAATTTTGCCCATCTTGGATAAATTTCTTGGCTTTGCCATTGCTGCTGATATATTTGGTGGCTAGATATGCTTTAAAACTTGGGAATCAATTAAGTTCTAAACACATTAACTCCGGTTACAGGGTCTGCTTCATTTCTATCTTTCTTTCCTTTTTTTTGGTTAATCTCTTTCTGGGACTATAACCTCTATTGAGATTTCTTTTCTCCCCACCTTTGATATATTATTGTTTGCCAGAATTATGATATTATGTGCAAATGAATGGTCAAGTTCATGTGAACTTGGCTGTGGCCCTCTGCTGCCTCATCTTCCCATATTCTTTTTGTAATTACGCAATGTGTGTGTGTTTGATTTAACCTCAGTGGGAATTTTATAGAAGGTAAGAATAATAAGTTGCAAAATGCAAAGAGCCCAAAATGTTCAAGGCTGTGTGCAACAAACTTTTGGCTTTACAGCTTAGAATTCTTATAGTTTATGTTCACTTCTGAGATTATGTTTGCTCCGACTTGTGGTAGATAATGATAAATGTTATGGTGCTGGTGACTAAGTTTGACATGATTTTTTTTTTCTATTGCAGACTCATGGTCTTGCTGAGTACATAGCTCAGGTGAGAATTTCTTTGAATTTCCTTGCTTTCCATATTATATATTATTTGTATATAGGCTCTAACTAGTTTGTATATTATTTATTATTGCTTTGAGTTGCTCAGTTTGAAAATAAATTGCTGCTTTTGGAAACAAGACAGCCATTATTAAGCACTGCAAAAAGTGATATTTGTTTCTTTACGTGCGTTTGTAAAGTCTATTGAGGTTGTTCAAAATATTGTTGATTGTAGGAGGAAATGGATCGGAAGTTTGGATATTGGTGGTCACTTGACAGTAAATATATTGCATTTACACAAGTTGATTCCTCTGAGATACCCCTTTTTAGGATTATGCACCAAGGTAAAAGCTCTGTTGGTTCAGAGGCACAGGAAGACCATGCTTATCCCTTTGCCGGAGCTTCAAATGTCAAAGTTCGTCTTGGGGTAGTTTCTGTTGCTGGAGGTCCTATCACTTGGATGGATCTTCTTTGTGGGGGAACAAATCAACTTTATGAGGAGGAATATTTGGCCAGAGTCAATTGGATGCATGGAAATATTCTCACTGCTCAGGTTTTGAGCAGGTCTCAAACCAAATTAAAGGTCCTGAAGTTTGATATCAAAACAGGCCAAAGAAAAATTGTACTTGTAGAAGAAGTAGATTCGTGGATTAATTTACATGACTGTTTCACACCTCTAGATAAAGGTGTCACCAAATATTCTGGAGGATTCATCTGGGCAAGTGAAAAAACAGGATTTAGACATCTTTATCTACACGATACTAATGGGAATTGCTTAGGACCTATCACTGAAGGTAACTGGATGGTTGAGCAAATAGCAGGTGTGAATGAGGTTTCAGGGCTTGTGTATTTCACTGGAACTCTAGATGGACCTTTGGAATCTCACCTTTATTGTGTTAAACTTTATCCTGATTGGAACCTTCCTTTGGAAGGCCCAGTGAAATTAACTCATGGGAGTGGAAAACATGTGGCTGTGCTTGATCATAATATGCAAAAGTTTGTTGATTTTCATGATTCTCTTGATTCACCACCAAAGATTTTGATTTGCTCCTTGCTGGATGGAAGTGTAATTATGCCTCTGTATGAGCAGCCATTAATTGTTCCAGGATTAAAAAGGCTCCAACTTGAGCCTCCAAAGTTGGTTCAGATACAGGCAAATGATGGGACTGTTCTACATGGTGCTTTATACAAGCCTGACGAAACTAAGGTTGGACCTCCACCATACAAAACCTTGATAAGCGTGTATGGTGGTCCTAGCGTACAGCTTGTGTGTAATTCTTGGATAAATACAGTTGACATGCGAGCACAATATTTACGAAGCAAAGGAATTTTAGTATGGAAGGTTAGTAGTCCTCTCTAGACACCCCAAACTGAATATCTTTTCTTTCATGATTAAATTCATGATCTATTCTGATTAGAAACCTCTTTTATTACATGAATAATTTTTTAATGTGCCTAGAGTTGCTGCATTTATTTAACCGTCAAGTTTGGTTCAATTTCCTATTATAGACACGTTTATTGTTGAGTCATGACAGTTTTATTTGTTGTCTCTTATGGATTACGCAGTTCATGTTTTGCATTTATACAAACTTGTAAAAGTTGTCTTATGCATCCGTAATCATGCTAAATCGTTACTTGATGTATCGATGTTCGCAGTTAGATAACAGAGGAACTGCTCGGCGTGGGTTGAAGTTTGAAGCGGCCATCAAATACAATGCTGGCCAAATTGATGCTGAGGATCAGCTGACTGGAGCTGAATGGCTCATGAAACAAGGGTTGGCAAAACCTGGCCATATTGGTTTGTATGGTTGGAGCTACGGAGGCTATCTCTCAGCCATGACTTTGGCAAGGTTTCCTGAAGTCTTCAAGTGCGCTGTCTCTGGTGCCCCTGTTACATCATGGGATGGATACGACACATTTTATACTGAAAAGTACATGGGATTGCCCTCCGAGGATCCTGTACGCTATGAAAACAGCTCTGTGATGCACCATGTGCACAAGATGAAAGGGAAGTTGTTGCTTGTGCATGGCATGATTGATGAAAATGTGCATTTTAGGCACACTGCAAGGCTTATTAATGCACTTGTGGCTGCCAGAAAGCCTTATGAAATATTAATATTCCCAGATGAACGACACATGCCGCGTCGTCATAGGGACAGAATTTATATGGAAGAGAGAATTTGGGAGTTCATTGAGAGAACTTTGTGAAGAATCAACCTCTTCTCTCAACGTTATGTGTTGCTGTTGTTATTGTTAAGGTAGAGAAGAGAGTTGGAAACTCAATTTTCCTTCAAAATAATTGCAAAATTTTCCCACTTCCTTTTTACATTCACAAAATCTGGTGCCAAGGTATCATATGTTCCATTATGGATTTTAATTTTTGTTTTTTGGTATCATAATGTTATTACTAATTAGTATAGTAGGTAATTTAATGTGTACGAGAAAGATCGAATAATTATACGCAAAATTGTCTTAATGTGTCTTAAAATCTTTTTTAAGATAACAAAAAGAAAAAAAAAAAAAAAACTGATTATATCCAATGTTTTAAAACACAACTTGGGGTGAAACTTGCCAAAGTTGTTGGTCTCGGGTTGATCGGTTTGACCGGTTGGTCAATTGGGTGACAAAAATTTAAAAATTTAGTAAATACACACCTAAAAATTACAATTAAGTCTTTATATATTTGAAATTTACAAACACACCTCAAATACAAATCGGCGGTCGACTAGTTGGCAACAGCGACATCCCAAATGCAATTTCAATCCTCTCTTAAGCCCATTTCCCATAAAATCTACCTAAGATCTAGTCGAAATCAAATCGATTTTGGCCAGATATCACAGACGCCAACGTCGACATTCCAAGCCAGAATCCATCGATGCTAGCGTCGACAACCCTCCCCATCACCCTGCCTCCCGACCAAAACCTACCTCACCTCACCCCCCTTAGCTTGGCCAACTGCTTTTTTTTTTTTTTTTTTTCTATTTACAGTCTATTCACTCACCAAAAATCAACGTCATCGCCACTATTGCACTCATCGACACTTTCTTTTTAGAAGTCCTAACATCGTGACCTTCAATTGTTTGTTGATCATCATCCCAATTTCTAGAGTTTTTGGTGAATAGTAAAACGGGTAATTCGGCCTAGTGAAAGCCTTGGGTCCCAGATCAACCGGCCAGGTTTTAAAACAATGATTATATTGATATATTGAAAAATGTGTTTTTTATTTTTCTCATAAATAAAGTGAATGTATCTTAAGGGCATACATTAAGACAAGGTTATATATGTATGATCAACAAATTATAGGACAGTTTATATTTTACAAATGTAAAATTTTATGATTGATAGGTTGTATATACATTCTGTCCTGGATAAATTGTTTTGATTGGGTTGTTATGTAAGATTTTAATAACTATAAATGCTACTGCTAGATATATTTCTTTTGGTAAGTTAGTGGTAGATATATTTCTTGTCAACAAAGTAATTGACTAGAACTAGTAAACTACATTTTTGTCCACTTACTCGAGAATATTTTGTGTACATGTGAAATTATCATATTTTAAACTTTTAAAAGAATTGATGTTAGCATTCTAAAAAGAAGAAGAAGAAAAAATGAAGAAGGAATAATCTTATAAAGGGAATAAAAATTAAATTAATATATATTACAAGATTTTTGTAAGTTTATTAATGGATTTATTATACTCACTCTTTGAGATCGTTCAATCTTAATTGTTTTAAGAATTTTCGAAAATAATTATATACTTTTAGTTCGATATTTTTATGGGTTTTCATTTTATTGTTTTAATAATTTAAAATGGCTATTTATTTTTTAAAATAGTTAAATTTTTGAAACTTAATAATCTCTCGAAGATGAATAAAATAATTATGAAAAAATTATCACTCCATTTTTTTTTTTTAATTCACCACTTGAAGATATTTCTATGCAGATTCCTTTTGTCTTTGACTTCTTTTTCCCAATAAAAATATACGCTTAAAATAATATAAATTGTTTACTAAAAGAAAATGAGAAAAACCTTCAAATTGTCAATTATTTGCCCAGTAAGAAATCCCATTAACTTCCTAAAATTTATTCTTAAATTATAAAAATTCTCTAAAATAGTGAATGGTTAATTGCTTATCATAAGATTTCTCAAATAATAACTGAAAATATTTATACTTAATATAAAATTTTCCAATTAAAAAAATTAATTAATAAATAAGTATCCTGGATTTTTGCGCAAATATTCATTTTTAAGGGAAAAAAAACAAAAAATGAATGTAACGGCCGTTAACTCTGTGAATTGCTCACCAAGCTTCAGTCAAAGTCGTAGGTGGAACACCGAACAGTACAATAATGACAAATTGACAATAAATAAATAAATAATTCCAACACGTTAACGCTTTACATTTCTATTCAACTTTCTCTTTCTTCCCTCCCACGAGGAAGTTTCTCGAGAAAAATTTCTGATTCTGGGAAACTCTGTGAGAAAGTCTCGTACAATTTCATAGATAAGAAACGCATCGCTTTTAATTTGCTTCTTCTCTCATAATCATTCCATTTATTCTTTTCATTTCGGTTTCTCAAAGGTATGGATTTTTTTTTGTAATTTAATTTTAATTTTTCATTTTTGTGGGAACTGAAATTGAATTGAGGAAATTATACATTTTTGTTAACTTTCTGTTTGATTTGATCGCTTGAATTGTTTTCTGATTTTAGTTATTTTTTAAATTGATGTGTTATTTTGGTTCATTATATGTTTGGTTGCTGAGAAAATTTTGAAAGAAAAAATTGAGGATTTTTTATATGAAGCTGTGAGAACGGAGACTGCGACTAAGTAGACTGTTTGGCTTGGTCAAATCGATTGTTAGTTTCTGTTATTTTATTTTTTGGAAGCAGAAAGGTTAAAATTTAATTAATTGTAATTCATTTTCTCTAATTCTTGATTTTCTTTGTCTAAAAGCAAGTTAATATTCATTGTTCAGATAACACTTTTGCAATATCGAATATAAACTTAGCTGTTTAAAGTGTGTTGATCCAGTGGTTCAAAGATCTTATCATTTGTGTTATCAATTTGTTGCAATTGATTCTTTTTTTCCGTGATTGAACAAAATATCTGTCTTTCATTCTCTGATTGATGATATTTTATTTTTATTGTAGGGTATTTGCAGTGAAGCTACATAAACCCTAAGCCCTTTGGGGATAATTTTAGCAAAATCAAAGATGGATGACAAAGTAACAAAATCCTAGTGTAGGGTTAGGGTTAATAACCCTATTACTCAATGGTTTAGTTCTTGGGTGCAGATTTGGAGTTTTAATTGTTTGTTAATTTAGGGTATTAGGTTTTCCTGGTAGAAGTTTGTCAATTTTAGTATTTCTTAATGGCTTATAGGGCTTAGAAGTTGTACATAGAAGTTGTAATTTGATATAAGGTATGCAGGGTTCTAGACCTACAAGATAAAAATGGCTTATAGGGCTTAGAAGTTGTACATAGAAGTTGTAAGTTGATATAAGGTACGCAGGGTTCTAGATCTACAAGATAAAAATGTCGATTGCCAGTGTAGCTCTTAGTCCGGTTCTTGAAGAGTCTTTGAACTTTCTGGGGAATTTCACTCATCGACATGCTCTGCCTGCGGATGAGTCGATCTTGATTTTTTTGAGTGTTGGGGGTTCTGTGATTCCCATGCGTGTTATGGAGTCAGATTCAATTGCTTCTGTGAAATTGAGGATTCAGAGTTTCAAAGGGCTATTTGTGAAGAAGCAGAAACTGGTGTACGGAGGGAGGGAACTGGCTAGGACCAATTCTCGTGTCAAAGACTATGGGCTTGCTGATGGGAATGTTTTGCATTTGGTGCTTAGACTTTCAGATCTCCAAGCCATCACTGTGACGACTGTATGTGGGAAGGTGTTTGAATTTAATGTTGAGAGGAGTAGAAATGTAGGTTATGTGAAGCAGCAAATTGCTAAAAAGGGAAATGGGCTTGTTGATCTCAAGGATCAAGAACTGATATGTGATGGTGAGGAGCTCGAAGATAAGAGACTCATAACTGACTTATGTAAAAATAATGATTCTGTCGTTCACTTGCTGGTCCGAAAATCTGCTAAAGTGAGGGCTAAACCCGTTGAGAAAGATTTTGAAGTGTCTATTGATGCTAATAATTTGAAGGAGAAGGTAGCTGATGTTGCAGGAGAATACCAGTTGGAAACACTATTCACGGGATGTGAGGTCACAGATAGGAAATTGTTACAAAGAGATTTCCTTTTGGAACCTCTAGTTATTGATTCCAATATTGATTTGCCATTAGAAATTAAAAAGCTAATTGAATCTACTTTTGATGGGTTAGACAGAGGTTATGGACCTGTTCGCTCCTCCGAGGGATCAGGAGGAGCTTATTTTATGCAAGATTCATCAGGTCAGAAGTATATTTCTGTTTTTAAACCAATTGACGAGGAGCCAATGGCTGTGAATAATCCTCGAGGCTTACCCTTGTCGGAAGATGGTGAAGGATTGAAGAAAGGCACAAGAGTCGGAGAAGGAGCATTGAGGGAAGTTGCGGCATACATTTTGGATTATCCAAAGGGTGCATTGAGCTCTTCTATTGATAAGGAGAGAGGCTTTGCTGGGGTTCCCCCTACAGTTATGGTTAAGTGCTTGCACGAAGGATTCAATCATCCAGAGGGTTATGAAAATGCTGCCAAGAATGTGAAGATTGGATCACTGCAAATGTTTATGAAGAATATAGGAAGTTGTGAGGATATGGGATTTCGTGCATTCCCGGTGGATGAGGTACACAAGATCTCTGTGCTCGACATAAGGTTGGCAAATGCAGACAGGCATGCTGGGAATATATTGGTCAGCAAAGATGAAGAAGGTCAGATCAAGCTTATTCCCATTGATCATGGCTACTGCTTGCCTGAAAACGTAAGTGCTTTACTTTGTTTCTATATATGTGCTAATATACTTCCTTATCTTGTCCTCAGACATCCTTATCGGAATTCTTCATGATATGAATTCTAGCTTTGTCATTGTTTTCATTGTCTTTTTGTTGATTGCTGTGGAACAACATTGTGTTATAGGATACTTTTAGACACCTTGATATATTATGTAAGAACTCGTCTGTTATTTCTGAGAGGCATATTTCATTTGATGCATAGATAGTTAATAATTCATAATGTGGTACTCTGATGTATTTTTCCTGATGCATGCCAAAACTCAAATCTGTTTTCTCCTTGTTTAGACATTCGTTTAGTTCTTCTCATGCTTGTGCATAGAACATAAACTATTGCCAATGATTTTTATTTTTATTTATTTAACTTGTACAATAGCTAGCTAGGTTTAATAATTAAACTTTCTTCACTCATCAATTAGGTTATATGATCTGTCATCGTCTGCTATAATTTTAGACTTCTAATTGATCATATCTCTTCACACTGCAGTTTGAAGATTGTACATTTGACTGGCTTTACTGGCCGCAAGCTCACCAACCTTACTCCCCTGACACCATTGACTACATTAACTCACTGGACGCTGAACGGGATATTGAACTTCTGAAGTATCACGGCTGGGACATACCACCTGAGTGTGCTGGGATCCTTCGTATTTCCACCATGCTTCTGAAGAAAGGTGCAAAGAGAGGACTCACTCCCTTCGCCATCGGAAGCATCATGTGCAGGAAAACACTGAAGGATGAGTCTGTGATTGAGCAGATTGTTCAAGAAGCACAGGAAGCTGTGCTCCCAGGATCAAGCGAGGAAGTGTTTCTCGAATCTGTTGAAGTCATCCTGGATCGTTACCTTGACGAGCTGACCCTGTAAGGCCTCAGGATGACTGTCTAGGTATATGGTATTTCACTGTCCATTGGGTCTTTTCGTTGATGTTGTTTGTCACTGGAACTTGTTCTCTTAACTTGCTTTGTCTTTCGATACAATCAAGCCATCGTGCAGCTATCACTCCTTCCATCTCTCTAAAAGAATCTGTTACCTGGATTTTAAAGTTTCCTATTTTAAGTAGTGACCTGAAAATATTGTACTGTGAATATGCTGTTGCTTTCTTTCTTGCTTATTTATTTATTTATTTATTTTAGTTTTTGAGTTGCAGTTTAGGTGTCTAATGTCATAATGATAAAATGCCCATAGTTGTTCAAAGTTACCTACAATAAACCAAATGTTAATTGTTAGGACAATTTGCCAACGCAGCTGCATTTGATGTCTTTAAAGACATTCAACCAACCACCATTAATGTAATTTTACTATTTTAGTGGTTATTATTTGCCGAAAATGTGAAAAGAAAAAAAATAAATAAATACAAATGCCACCTAAATTTCTTGGCCATGATGTTACAACTACTTAAACCCTTTCTTTCTTGGCCACGACGTAACAACTACTTAAACCCTTTCACCAAACAACACGAGGCAGGGTAACATCTAATTCATGGCTGCCTTTTTTTTTGTTTTGTTTTTTAAATAGAGTATATTTTCTAATTTTTAAAGTGCAACATTTTTTTGGATTATTGATTATTCTGTTTTATTGTTTGATTTGATATTCAGGTTGAAATCTATAGTATTAATATGCACCCAAATTGATTTTTTGAAATGAAAATATATTGGTTCTGTTTTTAGTATTTGGAATGGCCATATTTAATTATTAAGTTAATGACATTAACCCTTTTCAGAAATTTCCATTAATAAAAAGAAAAAACTAATAAAATTTGCATGGTGGTTTTTGTTGATTAAGTGCGTGCGATTATCACCGCTCACCGACAAGTAATTACTAATTAGTTTGGTTAGAAAATAAAAGGTCCCTACTAATCAATAATTTCTTCGATTAGACATGAAAAATTTGAATTTATGTGCACAAACTCTGAGGAGATGGTGACTACATTAAAGAAGACTCAGATTCAAACTGTATATTACAGTGTTCTCTTAAGAAATTTTTTCTTTTGTCGGTGTTAGAAAATCTTAAACCACAAATAGTAAATTAGCGTAGCTTTTACACTAAATTAATGCAACTTTTATATCATTTTATTACTGTATCTTAAATCTATTACATTAAATATTACATAAAAAAGAATTTTTTTTAAAATTTTTTTATTAATTCTCAACAATTAATTAATTATACTAATTAATTTTGTACATATTAATTAAAGATTGGTAATAAATATTTTTATTAATTAATAATAACTTTAAAAATTATATTAATTTAATAAAATTAAATAAACATTACATGTAATATAAAATGTTATAAAAAAAAATAACACAAAAGAAAAATTTCATATGGATAGTAATTTATTTTTGAATTATATAATTATTGTGAATTTATTATTATAAATATAATGTAAATAAGAATCAAATTAACATAAATACAAATTAAAAAAAATTAAATAACAAAAACAAGGAGATAAAATATGTTTTATGATGGATGAATAGTTTCACGCGGATGAATTATATATGGTTGGAGCAAAATTATGATTTAGAATACATTGAAAAGCTTACAAATTGATAGTGGTTGAAGCAAAATTATGTAACTTCATTCTATATTTTATGTTCGTTTAAATATTTAATTAACAAATGAATTTAATTAAAATTATTGAATTTCTTTTGTGTATGTGGTAGATGGATAATTCTACATTGGTTTAAGTTTTTTTAAGGAATAATTTATACCAAACGAGGAAGCAAATTCATTGGAGGTCTTTTTCGTTGTAAAAAAAAATAATGGGTAAAGCATATTTTTGAAATGTATTTTAATAATTTGAAATGGGTAAAGAATAAATATATATATGAATAGTCAAATTTTTTTATTTATTTTTTTTAAAGTTTGATATGCATAATTTATCAACCACAGCCTAATTCCAAAATTGACAAATCAAAGTCTGAAACATTGGTCCCATCTTATTTATCAAGGTTGGTTTGAATACCATAAAGGTAGATGAGAGTCATTTATTTGTTTCCTAACTAGAATAGTACACAGTTGGTTTGAAATGTAAAAATGTATCATGAACAGTTGTGATTGAAACTGGTGTTTTAATGGCAGTTTCCGAAATTTTAGAAATATAGGTAAGGCATCACTATTGACTTGTATTATCTGAAGACATTAACATCTATCTGAAAATGAAATCGTTCACATTTTTGGATAGGTGTTGTTCAAAAGTTAGATTGGACTGTTTGATTGATAACTACATATAATTAATGGGATATTTTCTATGTTTTAATTGCTTTGGTAGCATTAACCCATTTGAAATCAATAACCCAATGTTCTGCATCAAAGCATGTCAATTTTTGTGTTTCCCTTACACCAGAAAAAAGAAAAGATTTTACGGAAATGTCATTTTTTTTTCATTCATTATTCCTTTTGCCTCTCTAATTTCAACCATGCATGGTTTTGAAATCAAAAGAGTTAATCAGATTTTGTATTTTCAATATCTAAATATTTGTCTGATAAATCGGGAAGTCGTAAATGATATATATATATATATAGTTCTTCACAAAAAATAGTTAAACAAAACTTAACAATGAAGAAAATATCAGAAAAGATGTTTTTATCAACTATTTTTCATGAAATTGGAAAATCATTTTTGTAAAGCAAAATATCAAACAAGCTTTTTCTAACTTTTTTCATTTCAAAAATCATTAAATAAAAAGAAAAAGCAAGGTGAGCTCTTTTTATCTTTTCCTTTCTTGATCTTCATTGCGTAAGAGCCACTAATTAAAATAACAACTTCACTACAGTTTATCATTACACAAAATGAAACATACTATCTTCATTGTAATGCCGTCATGTTAAGAAACCACTTGACTCAAAAAGTTAAACCTGAAAAATAACAATAATTTGAAGGTGGTTATAATGTCCATACACTAGAAATTGTCCATTTTAGCATACAAGTTTGCTTTAGAAGTTCTTATAAACATTATCCACAAAAAAATGTGTCTATTAAATTAAATCTCAAACTCGTTCGATAGTCAATAATGAGATGTGATAACAGAATAATGTTTAAGAAATTTGAGATTATTATGTGATGACAATTTGAAGGAAATGCACATGGGTTGTATTAATTTGTTATTGTCTCTAATGGACACGTAAAGCTGAGCACTAAAATGTAGTTTAAGAAAGCGAGATTGTCTGGATTGGAAAAGGAAGAGGATGAAGAAGCCAATTAAGCAATGGGAGATTGTTTGTTGTTCGTGCACAAAGTGGTCCATACATGAGCCTGCCACTTGTTTCTTAATTTATTGACGATCTTTTTCCTCCATAAACCAGAAAGGATCGATGAGAAGGAAACTTTTTATTTATTTTAATTTCATTCGCTTTAGCTTAAATGCAGGTATGATTTAGTTTTAGATGATCTGTGACCTCAGTTGAAGAAGATTCTTACAAATCCAATGAAATTGTATTCAAAGATTTCTTAACTCAATTTAGTGATATCTGAGATGATTTTTAAAGTTTAAGGGATCTTTTGTACCTGACAAACAACTTTTTCTTTTTTGATTTTCCTCAAAAAGATATAAAAATAGTGTAGGGACTAATGGGAAATCTAGTCTCATTTGCTTCCCTTTGTCTCTCAATATCAGTGTCAGACTTTACAGAGTGCTTTCACATCGTTTTTTTTTCAATCTTTATGCATTTCTTCTAGATTATGGGTAGTACAGGATTTTAGTTTCAAATTGAATTTGTAAACAAATTTGGGGGTCCTCTAGATTATCATTAAAAAAAAAAAAAGGTTTATAATAGAAAATGTTTGCAGCAAATTTGGAGATGAATGACATAAAAGAGTAGGTTATGGTGTCAATTTAATGGAATGGTAGATGGCTTTATATTTGATAAATCTAGTGAACTAATCTCTTCAATTATTCAAGAAAAAATGTTCTTGTCTCCTCTCCAACCATCCACATAAATAGACCTTGCCTTGACATATTTATCATTATTAATTTCATATAAATTGCTATTTAAAACATTATTCTCTATAATTGATTGATAATAATATTTTCACAATCGAAATATTCAGGAGCTTAATTATCATATATAATGTCACACACTCATATATATATACTTTGTTCTTTTTTATTTGGGAATTAATGGGACCTGTGACTGGACCAACCCTTCTACTTGAGGCAGCTAAATCCTGGTTCTAGCTTTTTAATAAAGCGAATGCTCGTGTGGTGCAATCTTTTAGGGTGCGTTTGACTTATTGTTTTTATCCATATTCTCAATCCTATTCTTCAAATGTTGTTTGGCACGTTATTCCCAAAATATTAGTCTATTTTTTTAATTACTTTTAGACCCCATAAGTTTATTAATTTCATTAAATACCCCCCGAAAAAAAAGTTTAAAAACTAACAAAAACACCCGTACCCACCAATACTTGCCAGATTCCAGAAACCACCGCCGGTGGTAGCCGGAATCTGTCACAACAAGATCCGTGGTGGATATGGCTGGAAAAGGCCATATCGATCGAATACCCGCCAGATCCGATCGGTATGAGTGGTTATCCAATTTTCCGACCAGATTCTGGCGGTGGTGGCCGGAATCTGGAACTGCGGGTGGTAGGGTGTTTTTGTCATTTTACAATATTTTAATATATTGGGGTGTTTATTAAATTAGCAAACCTTGGGGGCTTTTTCATAAATTTTTAAATTTTATTTCGTAATACTTCCCTATCCAACTATCCAATACTATCCTCAAAATCTTATCCAAAACAATAAACCAAACGCACCCTTAGTTATCCAATTAAAAGCTTTTTAATGCGATTATAATGAAGTGTGGTACCTGAGCTGAGCTTGTCAGGTTTTATTGTCAAACCCAAAAGGTAAACTTTTGTGATCATAAAGTACGTCTTTCAACCACCACTATTAGATGACCTATGGTAAAAGAGTAAAGGAGAATCTAATATAGTCTCCCAAGTTTAAATCCCTTTGGTGATAAAATAGCAAGAGGAGGATCTAAAATGATCTTCCAAGAGGAGGATCTAACATAGTCTTCCAAATTCGAGTCCCTTTGAGGGTAAAAGAGTAAGAGGATCTAATATAGTCTCTCGAATTCTAGTTCCCATAGTTGCTAATAGAGGTGGTCACTGGAGCTTTTACCTCTAGGGTACCGGAGGATTA